AGACACACTGTCCCGGAGAGAGAGGAGAGACACAGTACAGACACACTGTCCCAGACAGAGAGGAGAGACACAGTACAGACACACTGTCCCGGAGAGAGAGGAAAGACACAGTACAGACACACTGTCCCAGAGAGAGAGACGGAGGGAGAGAGAGGGATCAAGCAGTGTAACAGCTCAATTAACTGTTCAGCTTCAGATTCAGGATTTAGGACAGTGTGTGTACTCATCTCGAATCTACACTCCAAGTGCTGTATTTCCAGATCAGTCTTAGAGGAATCTCTAAGACGGCTGTTGTGCTACTAGTCCTACTACTAGCTACTAGATGTTTTGAGCAGAGACCCCAGTAAGCATGTTCACATATTTCTATTCATTTATGCCATGTTACAGTATATATTATTAATGATCTCATTTCTACTGTACATCCACAGTTTCTCACAGATGTGTTTTCTGAACTACACAGGCGTTCATGAGTTTGAGCAGATCCAGCACACTAATCCTTGTGATCTGCTGGTGAGCTGAGACCAGAGGGGAACTGATCGTGTGTTACAATCAGGTCACACACACACTCACACTCGCAGGCGGGTGTGTTTGCCTGTATGCGCAGGTTCATGGTGCGAGCAGAATTTGAAGCAGATGCATTAAGGAATTAAGAAGCACAGCGAGTAATTAATAATTACAGCGGTTAGGAACGAGACTGCGGGGCTCTGGGCACTGCTTGCCGTGAGGTGCAGCAGCTGTGTGGTTCTCCAGAGAGAAGCCAGCAGTGTTCAAAAACCTCGTTCTTTGCTTAACACAATAATTAGGCCATTACATCCACTTACTGTTCCCTGTGCAGTGAGGCTGTGTTAAGATCTGGAACAAGACATGACAACGAGCCTGAGAGTGAGACGCGGTAGTGAGAAAGAGTGAGAGTGAGACAGGGGAGTGAGACTGACTGAGAGTGAGACAGGGTAGTGAGACAAACAGAAAGAGTGAGACAGGGTAGTGAGACAGACTGAGAGTGAGACAGGGTAGTGAGACA